ATACTGGTTTATATTAGTCCAAATTTCCCCAAACTGGTCCCATACTGGTCCATACTGGTCTATACTGGTCCTTACAGGTCCATGTTTCCCCACACTGGTCCCTACTGGTTTATACTGGTCCCTACTGGTTTATACTGATCCACACTGGTCCATACTGGTTTATACTGGTCCATATTTCCCCATACTGGTTTTTACTGGTCCATACTGGTCCATATTTCCCCATACTGGTCCCTACTGGTTTATACTGATCCACACTGGTCCATACTGGTTTTTACTGGTCCTTACTGGTCCATACTGGTCCATACTGGTCCTTATTTCCCCATACTGGCCCATACTGGTCCCTTACTGGTCCATACTGGTCCTTATTTCCCCATACTGGCCCATACTGGTCCCTTACTGGTCCATACTGGTCCATACTGGTCCATACTGGTCCATACTGGTTTATACTGGTTTATACTGGCTGTCCCAACCTCCCCGCGCGCGCTCCGCCCTCAAGCCCCGCCCCTTCTGCCCCGCCCCCGACGCTCCCCTCTCACATTGGCTCATCTCTAATGACGTAACGAGTCCCCGCCCCCTCCGCCGGCAGCTGACGGCGTTGCCGTTGAAGCCCCGCCCCCAGCCCGGAACCGCGGCCTCCCATTGGCCGCCTCACCCTTCGCTCCTCCCTCCTCGCTCTCTGATTGGCTCCCTCTATTCCCGCCCCGCCTCTCGCTCTCTCTGATTGGCTCCACCCCTGAGGGGAGCCCGTGAGGGCGGCCAAGATGGCGGCGGGGTGAGGCGGCGGCGATGGCGGCGATGTCCGGGGCGGAGGAGCGCGATGCCGGCGGCGGCCCCGCCGCTCCCTCCGCTCCTTCCGCGGCCCCTCCCGGTCCCGCTGCTGCGGCCGCGGTCGGTGGCGAAAGCGGCGGCGGTGCCGAAGAAGCGGCGGCGCTGCTGTTGGAGGCGGGCGCGGATCCCGACGCGCCGCCCAAGAAGCGGCTGAGGGCGGCCGGGAGCGGCGCCGGGGGGGCGGAGGGGGCGGCGGGCAGCGTGAAGCTGGAGGAGCGCCTTTACTCCGTGCTCTGCTGCACCGTGTGCCTCGATTTACCCAAGGCCTCCGTGTACCAGGTACGGGACGGCATTTGGGGACTTGGGGACAGGTGAGGGTGGCACCGGGACAGGTGAGGGTGGCACCGGGAGGAGCCCTCAGGGCAGCGGGACAAGGCCTGAGGGGATGGGGACACCCCCAGGGTAGTGACACCCCCTCGGGGACACGGGGACATCCCGGTGGTGGCACTGTCACACCCCCCTGGGGACACGGGGACACCCTTGGTGGCACTGGGACACCCTTGGTGGCACTGTCACCCCCCTGGTGGCACTGTCACCCCCCCCCTTGGGGACAGCCGGTGTCACCCCCTGGGGGTTTTGTCACCTCCTGGGTCACCAGAGCTCCCCCTGGGCCCTTCTGGGGACGCTGGGGCCACCAAAGTCCTCTCATGGGCCACCAAACCTCTCATTGTCCC